CATGAATATGTCTTTGATAACTATACGAATAGGTGAAGCAAGGTGAAATTGGGTTTAACGTCGTACTTGAGAATATTTCGCTCATATGACGATGTGCATGCGTGTGTGTGTATGTGTGGCTGCTTGTACTAGCCCAGACTTAATCTGGTTTTATAGTGCTATCCCATCGAGATACCATGCCGCAGTGAAGCACGAATACCCCACTCAGACACATTATACTGACTCCGACCCGACAAGTCCTTGTTGTACCCATTAATGCCGAGCGCCAGGCAGGGACCAACAAGTACCATCTTTTAACGTCTTTTGGTATGACGCGACCGGGGATCGAACCCGCGACCTTCCGCTCTCCGGGCGGATTATTTGACATGTAAATAAGTATAAGACTAGGTGTATGCATATGCGCATGAATAGGTGTATGAATATGAACACGAATATATCTATTAATAACTATATGAATAGGCATGTGATTAAATATATGAAAAAGTGAATGAAACATTATATCAATAGGTGTGTCGATAGGAGCATGAATAGTCAGATGATAAAGTGAGTGAGTGAGTTGAGTTTTACGCCGCAATAATCGAGTCTGGACCAGACAATCCCGTGATCAACAGCATGCGCATCGATCTGCGCAATTGGGAACCGATGACATGTGTCAACCAAGCCAGCGAGCCTGACCACCTGATCCCGTTAGTCGCCACTTACGACAAGCATGGGTTACTGAAGGTTCATTCTAACCCGGACCTTCACGGGTCACATGATTAAGTGTATGGATAGGGATAACAATGTTTATAATAGTAGAATAGGTGTTTCAACATATATAGGTATATTGATAGACACACATGCATAAATAGCTGCATCGAGAGGTATGTGAAGAAGGTATGAAGAGAAATATTTATGAAGAAATATATGAGTGTGGCATGAATCGGTATATCGATAATTGTAGTGTATCTGAATGGATATGTAAGTGTATGAATAATTTGACCTGGGCTAAGGTACTTTGTCATATGGATACAATCAGTTCACATCGAATGTAACCCCCCGTTGGAACGCATCATTGTGAGCAGAATTTGGATTGGAGAAAATATTTCCTTTAATATCATAATGTTTCCACAGACGCTCATGGCAAAATAACTAGTGTCATCTGGATTTATTGATAAAATACAAATAATAGTTATGTTGAATATTTGATTTGATAGATTGATCATTCTTCCGTCAGTGTTTGGGGGTCATAGAAAGCCATTCATACAATCTCTTGCATATTTTACATGTTCGACATTACCAAAAAATCAATTGACATTTTTTACATTTGTATTCATTCATTATATTCTTGTAAAACATTTCTAGTAAACACAAGGTGACAACCAATCCAAATATATATTGCAATATTTTAGTTTACGTAAATGATATTCATTTGCCAATTGAGAACCTAATCTCAGATGTTTCTGTCTTTGTGTTACTGAACATACACACGAGCCCACACAAAATAGTGTTCCATGACAATCGGCGTCCGCCTCATAATGGTATATTGTATCTTTATTTAATATACTGACCTCCGGAAATATGTTCCTAACGTCATGATGAGTCACGTAACTTCATATTTACTTCCAACATAACGACCTTGTTTACAGAAGCTGAGCTCAACGTTTCATATCGACCGCCTTCAAAGGTAGACTTATTTAGGGAAAGCAAAGATGACCATCTTAGAAAAGATTAACCTACATGCTTGCAACAGACATGTCGTACGAAAGTGGGAACAACTCCGTGATGTGGCCTCGTGGCTCTTTGACAGACAGAGGAAGCAATAACGCATGATATTTTATTGACAAGCGTGCGAAGCGTCGTTGGGACCTAGTTAGTCGGGCTGGATGTTTTTGCCAGCTACTCATCTCAACTCCCGTTCCTGAAACTGACGTAGATTGTCGCTTTTCGTCTACCATGCTTGTTAACAGGGCAATCGCTCATTCATTGTCAATGTATACACTCACACTTCAATAGCAGTGACGACGTCTGTCGGAGCGAGCAATACGGTGTTGATTACTGAACCAAGATGGCGGAAGCGGGATCAGTCATCAACTGTCCTGACAAGAAGCTTATAACAATGTTATTGAGACGTGGAACCGACGTTTGAAACTTTGCAGTGCCGTGTCTACACCATATGGATGCCAATGGAAGTCCCAGATACATCAATCAAGAATAATTGGGAGCATTACATAATGTGATTCAGGAGCAAACTGTATTTTAACATATTTAGGTTTTCCGCTGTCCTTTAAATAATAATTGCAATCGATATATATTTGATAAGAATTCCATGAGGTAGTGATGTAGCAATTATTGATGCTGAACATATTTACGAGTCTTGCAAAAAGCTAGATTTACGTAGAAACTGTCAAAAACAAAGATGTGACGTTGAGCTTGATCAAATGGCACTGGGCAAAATAAGATTTTTAGACAGAGTCTTCTTAAGGCTTCTGGCGGTGGGGTAGCATATTGGTTGAAACGTTTGCTCGTCACGCCGATGACGGTTCCATTCCTCACTTAGGTACAATGTAAGTTCTGGTGTCCCTTACTAGGACGTTACCGGAATACTACCGAAAGGCGTAAAACCATACACACTCACTTAATCCTTATTGCAGCGAAACGTTAAAAGTATTAGTTTAATGTTTTTATTTTATTTATACCAGTGTCAACAGCCTGAGCGAGGGGCCATAGCTCAATAAACCCAGTCTGTGGTTTTGGAAGTGGACTTATACTCATGTCATAGGTCGTAAAGCTATACATTCGATCAGTGTGTTTGTTTGTGCGTTTGCGTGTGCGTGTGTGTGCGTGTGTGCGCGCGGGTTTGAGTGACCTCCACTTCGTTGCCCATTTACATCCTTCCAAAACGAAGGATGACAGGTTTCCCTCACAAGGACCTCAAAGAAACTGGGTTCTGTCTATTCAAAAGAACGACAACCTATTCCCGATAACATATGACCGAACATCAGTAATCTAGTACGAATATTTTTTTAATAATAGGGTTCACATAAAAACAACTAAATGTGACTTTTTGGGTAAAATGTAGATACGTAATGACAGGAACAAAAACAGGAAGATGGCGGGAGTCTTTGATCGAAAGTCTTGGAGTCATACGAAACTTCTTATTGGTACGTTGATTTTTTTAACATAACGTTTATCGATTGGGAACCAGTTTTCTTGCAAGGTACGGAAGGAGCGAGTGGTGACGATTGTTGCGTGAAATGTTACAGCCGGTCGTGTCATCTGTCTATCCAGTCAGTCTACTCTCTAAATTGTCATGGGAAAATGTGGAAAGTTCCGGTACGTGGACAGGGTTAGAGCCTAGTTATTTTTGCCGTCATAACACATTCACTGACTTGTCAACTACTATAGGTCCAGACTTAGGTCGATATGTAGAAGGCGAAACTAAATCAACGACAAAAACCCTAAAGGAACTGCTAGTTTGAACCAGGATCGGTTTAAAACACCACGAATCAATCCATACAAAGAAATGCCTTTACTAACGGTTTAAGCGAATAAAGGGTATTGTATATTTGCAAAGAAAATGACGTAATGAAATGTACGTCATCAAACAATGGATGACGTCATATGTTTATTAGAATGTGTAATCAATGGTATCCACACTGTTAACTTAAGCCTTTACTGTGCACCAAAGTCATATTTAGCAAGTCCTTATCAATCGTGAACACGAGTATGGACATATGTTGTCTAATGTCATAGGCATTTTAAATAGAAAGTTCACAAAAGGTCAACTTGCCAAGAACTTAAACGCCAGAATAGAAGGTCACGAAAGTTTATCAATTCGTCATCTGACCCAGCTATTTTTGAGTGTCACAATTAACCGCCTAAAACAATTTCTCGAATTTTAGTGGGCACGAAAACACGAATTTCGTTTTGTACCAAAGTGACTGCTATAGTGTAACATTCCGCTCGGTATATTTTAGATCTACATTTTCAACAACATAACTCCAAAGTGATCTTGTTGAAATGCATCATATTTGTCCAAAGACTGGCCTGGCGTGATACTTTGGACAAGTGCCCACCACCCCACACCAACACACACACACACACACACCATTCAGAAGGCAGACAAGAGCCATTCATTTTAAGCGCATCCTTATCACAAAGGAGGTTTAAGTTAACTATCTCTCCATTTTATCGCCAATATTCCCAACGCGTGGTTAGAATAACTGCGTCTGGTGTAAAAGGGAAGTTCAGTTGTGGCGTATATATACGTACGTCACATGTTTCTATTGGAGTTCCAGTCTTTGGATGTCGCTCGATATCTTCCTCCAACTGCTGTTATTGCAACGTAGTATTATCACCACTGCTTAACAGAGCGCAATTCTACAATGGCTACATGTGCAGGGATACTGGGAGTTGATGCACACCAGATAATGTAAAGTGTTTATCTCGTAAACGTCTATAACGTTCGTGAATTAGTTTACAGCTGTTTTGGTGTGTCGAGGAAGGTGGAAGGTGGATTGTATCTGTGTTCATGGACATTCAACGACAACGTCTAACACCGATTTAGTGAATGCAAGAGAGTAGACATCACATGTGAAATCTTGGACATTCAACGACAAACTCAACAAGCGTTACAGTGTAGGCAAGAGAGAAGACATCACATCTGAATTCTTGGACAATAAAGGACAAAGTCTACCACCGTTACAGTGAAAGCAATTGACTCGCTTGTGAATTCAAAAACATTCAACAACGTCATCTACCGTCACTGTGAAAGCAAGCGCGAATGAATCTGGATCAAAATCGGGATCGTACAACGACAACGTCAATAAAGGTTACCATGAAGGCAAACGAGTAGACATCGAAGTTGAATTTAGGAACGTCAGTCGACAACGTCCACCACCGCTACAGTGAAATCAAGCGAATAGACATCACCGCTGAATTCGAGAACGTTCGATCAGCACGCCTATCTGTAAATGTAAAGGGAAAGAAACGGAGTTGGCATCTGTATGCATCCCTGACACTAGCGTGGTGGTACCAATTGATCCACCTCCCTTGGGAGTGATCATCAGATCAGATGATGCGATTTAGTAAGATCCTTACTAACATTACATGCCACCAGATCTGTCCGTTCTCGGCTGTGGAGGACTAATCTCAGTACGAGGTTAATCCCCGGAGATATCCTGATACAATAACGTCTACGGTAAGAGTGATTAACTATCTCGTCCATGGCGACATTGTCTTTTCCCGTACTTAAAGAACAGTTTTTTTGCTGCATATTCATTTGTTTTTAGGTTCACGTTACTTGATTTGCCATTAGCTTCGGCAAATGACTGTTTCTGAGCCATCAGAAACCTGTTTGGTACCATCTTGCATCTTGTAGAAGTGAGAACTCAGATATTGCTTTTTACCATTCCATTTAAATTTAACCGTGAAGATCCGGGGTAGAATAGGCTCAGCAACCCATGCTTGCCACAAAAGGCGACTATGCTTGTCGTAAGAGGCGACTAACGCGATCGGGTGGTCAGGCTCGCTGACTTGGTTGACACATGTCATCGGTTCCCAATTGCGCAGATCGATGCTCATGCTGTTGATCACTGGATTGTCTGGTCCAGACTCGATTATTTACAGACCGCCGCCACGTAGCTGGAATATTGCTGAGTGCGACGTAAAACTAAACTCACTCACTCATTCCCCTTTAAAATTAAAGTAATTATATTCATCTAACTTGGTAAAATTGATTGTTTAACGCTGCTTTCAGCAATATTGCAGCTATATGACGAAGGTATGTAAACAGCGAGTCTCATCCATTTAGTGATTGATGTCATGAACACAGCAGTTGGGTCACGATGACATGCATCAATCGAGTCAACTGAGTTTGCTGTGATCTTGCACGATCTTGCTTTTTATTCGAAATAAACCGGTCGTGTCCTATGTGACAAATACAAAAGGATATTTAAGTGATTACAACGTTATGTGAAGCCCATGTCTGCATTTGATAGTCCGGATCACCAGTGACAGAACCGTAAAAGCATCACTTTAGACCATATGATCATATGCAGTGATTGGCAATGTGATTGAAAACATTCGCCAAATTGGACACAACCGTCCAATCAACCAACTAAATATTTCATCCAGTCAGTCGACGGGGTCTAGTATCATGTCTGACAGAATGACTTTATCCAATGTATTGTTTTATATATTAATCCACTCGCGATTGGGAACTGTCTGTATTAAGTGGTAGAGCTGGACTGCTGTGTCTACGTATCTGTTTAGTTTGACATTGTACGACTGGTGAGTTTTATACATGATCTGACCAGTCTTGCATTGGTGTTCTATGGTGTTCTGTATAGACATATGACAGTCTAGCATTGGTGTTCTATGGTGTTCTGTTTAGACATATGACAGTCTAGCATTGGTGTTCTGTATAGACATGTGACAGTCTAGCATCGGTGTTCTATGGTGTTCTGTTTAGACATATGACAGTCTAGCATTGGTGTTCTATGGTGTTCTGTATAGACATATGACAGTCTAGCATTGGTGTTCTATGGTGTTCTGTTTAGACATATGACAGTCTAGCATTGGTGTTCTATGGTGCTCTGTATAGACATATGACAGTCTAGCATCGGTGTTCTATATAGACATATGACAGTCTAGCATCGGTGTTCTATGGTGTTCTGTATAGACATATGACAGTCTAGCATCGGTGTTCTATGGTGTTCTGTATAGACATATGACAGTCTAGCATCGGTGTTCTATGGTGTTCTGTATAGACATATGACAGTCTAGCATCGGTGTTCTATGGTGTTCTGTATAGACATATGACAGTCTAGCATCGGTGTTCTATGGTGTTCTGTATAGACATATGACAGTCTAGCATTGGTGTTCTATGGTGCTCTGTATAGACATATGACAGTCTAGCATCGGTGTTCTATATAGACATATGACAGTCTAGCATCGGTGTTCTATGGTGTTCTGTATAGACATATGACAGTCTAGCATCGGTGTTCTATGGTGTTCTGTATAGACATATGAAGTCTAGCATCGGTGTTCTATGGTGTTCTGTATAGACATATGACAGTCTAGCATCGGTGTTCTATGGTGTTCTGTATAGACATATGACAGTCTAGCATTGGTGTTCTATGGTGTTCTGTATAGACATATGACAGTCTAGCATTGGTGTTCTATGGTGTTCTGTATAGACATATGACAGTCTAGCATTGGTGTTCTATGGTGTTCTGTATAGACATATGACAGTCTAGCATTGGTGTTCTATGGTGTTCTGTATAGACATATGACAGTCTAGCATCGGTGTTCTATATAGACATATGACAGTCTAGCATTGGTGTTCTATGGTGTTCTGTATAGACATATGACAGTCTAGCATCGGTGTTCTATGGTGTTCTGTATAGACATATGACAGTCTAGCATCGGTGTTCTATGGTGTTCTGTATAGACATATGACAGTCTAGCATTGGTGTTCTATGGTGTTCTGTATAGACATATGACAGTCTAGCATCGGTGTTCTATGGTGTTCTATGGTGTTCTGTATAGACATATGACAGTCTAGCATTGGTGTTCTATGGTGTTCTGTATAGACATATGACAGTCTAGCATCGGTGTTCTATGGTGATCTGTATAGACATATGACAGTCTAGCATTGGTGTTCTATGGTGATCTGTATAGACATATGACAGTCTAGCATTGGTGTTCTATGGTGTTCTGTATAGACATATGACAGTCTAGCATTGGTGTTCTATGGTGTTCTGTATAGACATATGACAGTCTAGCATTGGTGTTCTATAGTGTTCTGTATAGACATATGACAGTCTAGCATTGGTGTTCTATGGTGTTCTGTATAGACATATGACAGTCTAGCATTTGTGTTCTATGGTGTTCTGTATAGACATATGACAGTCTAGCATTGGTGTTCTCTAGTGTTCCGTATAGAGGCATGTCAGTCTACCATCTGACTTCTCAAGTGTTCCGTTTAGAGATGTGTCAAGTTACACCACTGACTTGATTTTATGCAAATGAATCGTTAGGAAGATAATCTTTGACGTGTTGGTTTCTATTGTACAATATAACGACGTGACCTTTTCGCTTTTATTGACTCTAATGTACGGAATACAAAATGTCATATCCCCTGCACAGGAATTGTTCATCTAGTTAAGGATGTCTAAGGCAGAGCAAATTCATTCCTTTAAAGTAACCGCAGAGGAACACTTTCGATCATTGATATTAAACCCAATCCGAAGTGAATTTGAATCATTTGACGTAAACTTTTTAATTGCCTCTTGCATCTAACATTTGTATTACGTGTTTACGTGAGGTGTAAAAGGCTGAGCGTTTCTCGCCCTTTCGGAGCTACACTCGTAAAGACAATTTGGGATGAAATCAATTGTTTAGTCGTAAAACAAGCCCAACGCCATTTCCCACATGAATGATTGAACGTTGTTTTACGCAGCAACAGCCATTTACCATCTTGATCATGAATGTCTGAGATAACTCTTACCAAGAAAGAAAATACGCGAAAAAATTGCTTCAAGTTAAACCAAGGACATGCATTATAGTTTTGTCCATTGCCCCACGACGTAACAGCTTAGCAATGAAAACTAGCAGAGAGTGACTAAACTTGTACACTTTAAGAAGAAAAAGCCACAGAAATTCCACACATGACACTATCCCTTTTAAAGTGTATATGGCGATGATTAAACCAAGCCACAGTTGGAATGGAACCAACAGTAAACCACGGAACCACATCAAACCATGTGTGCACGTATTCAGTTTGTTCAGGTTTCCATTGAAAATGGGGCGGGTTTTATTCATTGAAGTTTCATCGGTAGCCCTGTATTGTGTGCGCAACATGTTCCGATAGAAACCTTCACCTTGAGAGAATGGACGACTTAATAATATTGTTGTGTAATTTTCCGATGCATTCTCAAACTTGTGTTTCTCTATCAAAAGGTCTTCACGTTTTAGTAATTAAGACGTACGTATCGTGTATCTGATTACCCCGTCGACAATTGGCTCAGTGATCTGATTTAGAGGTCTCTCGATGGTAGCAATGTAAAGCGTTTTCATTCCATTCTAGATGTACCTGCCTATCTTTCGACGTCAAAAGCCTTCAAGTAGTCATGTGGAAGAAAGCACCTAATCTCGTTTACTTTGATTTAATTAGAACCGGAGCCTCTTTCTACCTGTATAACAATAGGTCCAATCTTGCCTTATCTTGTTCAGCTGGAGCGTCTCAAGGGAAATTCAAAACAATAAAACTTTCCGTGTAAACTACAAATGCTGGACCTTTCAGTACTCTGATTCTTTATCCCTGGTCTCTTCTTTGTATTGCAACTAGCAAATTGCATTTGAAGCCAAGTGATGTTTCAAACAAACTGTAGTTGTAAGATTAGAAACCCGCTATGGACTAGTTGTCGGCAGTGCTGATGTTTGACTTTGTTGCTGAAATGGCAAGTTTTTTGTTGCTTGTCATCGATACAACAAAAGTAAGTTAATTAGTTTTTATTTCAATTTTTCCGCATAGTAGATAAGACATAATTTCAGTAGCTAAGTTTCCAAAGCGATTGTAACAGCTTGGTCCCACGAAGGGGCTTAAGGTCAGTCAGTTGTATTGGGGATTGGGTTATTGTTGGAGGTTATTATGGATGTTCAAAGGTTTATTATCATGTTCTTATAACGCGATGGCATTGTATTTTACTAAAGTAAAAGAATGTATACATCCGTGTTTGATGGTGACTACAATGAAAACAAGTATTTTGTAATATATTTGATATGACACAATGTGTTTCGGACATTAAGTTTGCAGTAACTGCTTGAACATTTTGCAAACATTTACAATTTCCGGAACGAATACAATTTTCAAGTAAATACTTTTTTTACTCGAGTGTTTATATTCGTAGCACACGACTGAATGAATTAACAGTGTTTTTAACATTTCGGAGCTACACAGAGATTTGTTACATCAGGTAGATTCTTTTATAGCAATACAGGAAATGCATTGCTGTATTTATTCATTCACATCATGATATTTTCCACATGAGCCCCGGCCCGTGAAGATCCGGTCAGTAACCCATGCTTGTAAGAGGCGACTAACGGGATCAGGTGGTCAGGATTGAGATGTCTGGGGATTATGGAAAGGGTTTTCTCGAATTTAGTTACTTTGGGTTTCTTTCAGTTTCTTGCTGA